AATGGTATCTAAAATTAAATTGGTATCAAAACTTATCAAATCATATATAAACTCTAGCATTAAAATAATGTAAATCTTTCAGAGATCAAATCAAGTCATGGTCATTTAAGAAAATATTCAGTTTCTGAACCATCAAATGACATAAGGATATGTGCACCTGTTGGTGATCTGTGCTAAGATATTGTAGATTTAGTTTTGATACATGATGTGTGGCATCTAAGAAAGTATCTACCAGTTTCTGGTATATAGTGCAAGACATCAAGTTTGTTAAGACAAATCAGGTTCTGATATGTCTACAGTATTCTGATAGCAAGCTAGGTTCTGAGATGAAGACCATATAGTTCTAGTCAGATTCTAATGAGACGTTTATGGAGAAGTATTCCTTCTCTATTCCTTCAATTGGTACTCCAAAATCATTTTATAAGTCTTGGGATTAGGGGGAGACTCTGAACAAGCATAAATGAATTTTGAGAGTAATAGAATCAGGGGGAGCCCGTTAAGCTTATCTCTGACTCTGTGGATTTATGGTGATTACCCTATACGAGTTGTTTATAAAAATGAATTGTTTGTCATCATCAAAAAGGGGGAGATTGTAAGAGCAAGATTTGGTTCTACATCTGGCCTTTGAGTTTTGATGATAATTGCATATGTTATCTAAAAGAAAAATTATGTATGATATGATTTCTGTCTAGTGTGTGGCTGTGGCCAATATAATTCTGACTCTGATAAGAAAATGTGTGACATCATCAGACTCTATTATCAACACTCTAGAAGAAAACGTATATGTGTACAAGATAAAGTCAGGATTCATAAATACTTTTAATACAACGGTTCTAAGGAACGTTAGTAACAAAGTTTCTGATTGATACTTTATAAGTAAGCCTAGAAGGCTTTACAAGAAATGTGTTTTCTATTGTTGCAGCTCTGAAGATTCTAAAGATATGGTTCTGGTGAATAAAGCTCTGAAGATTCTAAAGACATCATTTAAAAAGATCAAGTTCTGAAGAGTTTCTGAAGACAAGGTGCTGATTGAGCGAAGTGCTGAAGACTCTGAAGACAAGAGTGTGCTTAATGAAATCTGAAGACTCTGAAGATGAAGTTCTGATAGAACAAGTTTTGAAGACTCTGAAGATAATACTTCTAAGAAAACAAGTGCTAAAGATTCTTATGACTGGGTTCTGCTGAACGGAGATCTAAGATTCTGAAGACTGCGGTTCTAAAGATTACACAAAGAATGAATCTTCTACAACATGCTTCATCAAGTTAATATCTAAAGCTCTGAAGATGCTATAAGACTTAAGATAAAAATGGTTTTGAGCTGAATATAATAGTACTAAAACTATGTGACATCTACCTCGAAAAGATGGCACAAGAGCAGCTTTTTGTACAGTGATGTTGACCATTCCTTCATGTTAACATTGGGATATTGTTGTTTGAATATGTTTCTAAGAATGCCCCCCAACCGATTTATTCTCTAAAGCTCTATAAATTGAAGATCAAGAAGCTTGAAGAAGTAAGCTGAATTGACTGAATAGATTACTAATTGCTAATAGCTGATTGCTGATGATATCACGTTATGCAAAGCCAAAGTACCAAAGAAAATGCTATAAGATGAAGCCTAAATGAAGAATGGTCAATGAAGAAGAAGCTGAAGCAAACTATTGAAATGCGTACAATGATGCAACATGTTAAACCATGTATAACTAGTCAAGTGAAACATCAATAAGTGAAGCATAGTAACTTAGTTGATCTTGATGGTTAAATTGGAAGATGCATTATATGCTCAAGAAAGGATTTCATCAAAGGAAGCTTAAAGCTCATGAAAAGAAGTTGTAGTGGTCATTAAGAAAGCTTTTAAGCAATACAAAACTAATGCATTATAATCTCTCAGAGATTCATTCTTTAGATAGTTTTATGTATTAGAAAGCAAGGCGTTGTTGCTCATATCTCGCTTAGAAACACTTAGGTGTTCATGTGCATCATCTGTGTAATCAGCTTGTAAGAAGCATATAAGTGCACAAGAAAATCCTTGTAAAAGGTGTTGTTCCTTAAGCGGTCGAGTGAAGACCAAAATGCTTGAGATGACTAAGTGTGTTTCTAACAGCTTAGTGAACGTTGTTGCTTGAGTAGTCGAGTGAAGACCATAATGCTTGAGAGGGCCAGGTCATTTCTAATGGCTTGGAGGTATATTCCTTGAGAGGCTAGTGAAATCCAGGATTCTCAAGAAGGAAATGGAAGGTATCCATTATGGTTGTAATCATTGATGATTACTGGATTAAGTCCTTGTGATAAGGCAAAATCACCTTGGTGGGTGGACTGGAGTAACTTCGTTAATAGTGAACTAGGATAAAAACAATTGTGTCATTTATTTTTATTGTTATTATTAGATTTATCTTTCTAATTCCAAAAAAGGGGGAAAATGTGAAACTCAATTCAAACCCCCATTCATGATGCTCTAACCAAACTGCAAATACATTATCTTGCATGTTATTTATCAAAATCAGGATGGTATTCATGTTAAAGCAACACACAATCAAAAGATAATTTAAGGAAATAACAAAATGTTGCTTGCATTATCATAATCAGAATTAAGATCATTATTACATATGTGTTCATTGACACAAATACAAAAGACCATATTTTGTGTTCATTGACACTAATGCAAGAAACCAAATTTAGCGTTCATTGACACTAATACAAAAAGTCTAAGTTACACAGACAATTTGTGTTAATTGATAATAATATAAAAAGTATAAGTAAATTAAAATGCACTTGCTTCAAGCTGGGTTTGTCTGAGTTGGTGTAGATTGGCTTGCTTCAGGCTGGGTTGTCTGAGTTTGTGAAGGCTGACTAGGTTGTGGCTGACTTAGTCCAGGGTGACTTAGTCCATCTTGACTTGGTTCAGGCTGAGTTGTCTGAGTTGGTGCAAGAAGCTTGCGAGTAGCTTTGTTATGCCCCATCATGTGGAACCTACTACATTTGATTCTAAAGTTAGCTCGATTTAGCTGTGTCGCATCTCTTATATTCTCTAATGCATCCCTAGTCCTCTTTATCTTTGGCCTTTTTGGTTGTCTTTTGATTAGTGGTGGATATAAATTAACATACTCTATTTTCTCCCACATAGTCTCCTCATTCACTAGATATATTACAGGTGCATAACATGTCTCATAACATGCTCTTTTGTAGCAATCAGGCATAAACTTGTCAATCTCCAATTATTGAGATTTCACTTAAGATATTGCATGACATGATGGAAACCTTGTTATCTTCCATCTCCTACAAGAGAACTCCTTAGGGGGGGACTCACAATATATTTTTCTCCATTATATGAGATATGCCTAACCTCATAATCAAATTCACCTACACGTGTGTGTAAAACACAACAACAATTCAACAATTCAGTAAATGTAACACACAATCCAAATGTAAAACAAGTTAGCATTTAATATCCCATAATCCAATTATTTGTTTTCTCTAATTCCTTTGTTATCCTTTTCTTGATATTTGGTAGAATATCACCTTCATATTTTGACATCTTCTGCCTGTTTGACTCCCACCTCAGCAAGAGATACTCTTTGATTTCTTCAATAATTGTTCCAATTGGTTTGGCCCTAGCTATGAAAAAAATAGAGTTGAATGCCTCTGACCTGTTGTTCACCAGAGTATCACGTAAAGTACTGGTCCTGAACCTATATTTGCTCCAAAACCTTGGTGGAATCTTTATCAAATGCTTGATTGCCTCCTCATTAACAGCCTTCATTTCAAGCATGAACTTTTCCAATGCATTTATATAACTAGTTGTAGCATCTTTCTACATGAGTTCTTTGAGCTTAATGACTGTATATTTCTTTCGAAAGTTTATGTATAGATGCCTTGAAATACATAAAACCATACCTGAAGGACATCATTGAAACCTATGGAAAGTTAGGGGGCTAAAGTGATAAAATATACTTGACACAAAATCTTTGGTCTACTCCAAGTAGAAATTCATCAAGAGCTGGTAACAGTCCTTGCAATAAAATACAGTAGTTCATAAATTAGCTCAAAAAATAAAATTGACTCATAAAAATCAAAATCCATAACAAATTACCTTTTGTTAATCACTGATGAATGTGTATGTCTTGCATAATCTTGTACCTCTTAGGTCAGATATTAACAGTTCTAGGAACCAAGTCCATGAATCCTTGGTTTCACCTTCCACAACAACAAACGTAATAGGCAACATTTGGTCATTTGGATCTCTTCCAATTGCAACAAGTATTTGTCCACCATAATACCCTTTCAAGAAGCAACCATCCAAACCTATTATAGGTAAGCACATGAAAAAAAATTCCCTACAGGCCTTAAAACAAATATACATTCTTTGAAAATGTGGTTTCAGGTGTCTCTCAGGATGCTCAATGTTGTCTTTTCCACCTTGAAATGGTTGACTTGTAAATTTCATATTTGAATTGGAATTTGACCTTAACAATTCATGTGCATAATCATGAATTCTTTTATACAGCTCCCTAAAAGACCCATCAACAATATCAATAGCCATTTTCTTTGCTCTGTATGCAAGAGTTTTGTTAATACCCACATTCCAATTCATGTGCATAATCAGTTTTAAATTAGGATTCTCCCTCACATTGTTTTATATATTACTATTGAACCACTTGGATGTGAGGAAATTGACCTTGAAATATCTGCTACATGTATGGTTATCAATAATCTTTCTGAGCTTCCATGTATCTTCATGTTTGATTCTTGCACAATATGCCTCCCATGGACATCCTTTCTTACATATCACTCTCATACATGTGTTGTCATTTTTCTTGAATTTCAAGTTCCTACCAGAGTGTATGGCATATGTCTTAATACCATCTTTGAAATCTTATTTGGTAGCAATGTATGTCCCCAATTCCCACTTGTAGCCATCCATCCTTTTAGGTATCTTGAAATTTTTCCAATCCCCCTTACCAACGAAATCATCTTCACTATAATATTATTCAAATAAATAATCATTTTTTTTCATCCTCAATGTCACTCAAACCTTTCAATTTTACATTTGTTTCTTCTTCATCAACACAATCATCCGAAATAATTACTTCACCACTTCCTTCACACTTCTTTGGTTGCCTAGGTGGTCTTCCCATTTTACCTTTTCCCTTCCCTTTCCTTTTACCTTTCCATTTACCTTTCCCTTTACCTTTACCTTTCCATTTACCTTTACCCTCCCCCTTACATTTACCCGTTCCCTTTTTCTTCCCTTTTTCATTCCTTTTCACCTCAACCTCACCCTCTTCATGAACCACATCTTCAGCAACTACCATGTCTTTATTCATACCCACATCATCATCAAAATCTTCAAAATTAATATCCAAAGCATCATCCTCATTGCCACTATCTAGTCCCTCATCTTCCTCCATGTTATAGTTCACTCTCTCATCAACCAAATTAGTCTCCTCAACATGTCCCTCATCTTCTTCCATGCTACAGTTCAGTCCCTCATCAACCAAATTAGTCTCCTCACCTTATCCATCATCTTCCTCCATGTTATAGTTTAAACCCTCATTAACCAAATTAGTCTCCTCATATTTTCCCCCATCTTCCTCTATGTTAGAGTTCAGTCCCTCATCAACCAAATTAGTCTTCTCACCTTGCCCCTAATCCATAATAGTTCCAGCTTCAGTGGTCCCCTTTTCTAAAATGTCTCCTGCATCCCCAACAGTTTTAACATCAGTGGTCCCCTTATTCACAATGTCTCTTTCATCCACCACAGTTTTAGCTTCAGTGGTGTAGCACCCCAAAATTTTCCCACCCTTTTTCTTAATCTCTTGGCTTATGTTTCATATCATTTTGCATCATCATTTGCACATAGCATTGGTTCTAGGAAAGGGATCAAGGTATCTTGTTCATTTCTCAAGAAGAAGAGCTTGATTCTCAAAGCTAAAGCAAGGGTTAATTCTCAACCTTGTGGTCCTCTCATCATCAAGGCATGTCTCACAACCATTTGAATTAAGGTTACAAGCATTGATCACCTCCTTCTATCTTGTGAGTAGTTGTATTAGGGTTTTGATCAAAAGGAATTTGTGGCTAGTTCTTTGGGCAAAACATGATTATATGGCTCAATACAAATCTTGAGGGTCCTCTACATGAATTATGTGTCATCACAAGTCATGGCAAGAGCTTCAATCAATGGAAAAGGTGCTAGGGTTTCATCTGGTCAACAAAAGTTAATTGTGGCTCAATAGGGTCAAAGTCTTGAATTTCAAGGTTAACCAAGGGCATGCTATGTGCTCTCAAGTATTTTCATATGTTTGGAACAAGCAAAGTCAAGTGGAAACATAAAATCGGGAGTTTGGTTAGATTAGGGTTTTGTTGAAATATTTTCTAAGTGTAGAAAACCCTAATCCTAGCCATTTTGCAACATCCATAACTTTTTCACCTTTGATCCAATGGGAGAAAACTTTTTATCAAATTAAAGAGGACATCATGAACTACAAGTTTGTAGAAGAAAGCAAGTCCAAAAGATCCATGGTTTGAGAGATATAAAGAGCTAAAGTTGAGAAAAAGGAGGTTTTGTCATTCCAACACTTAGAAGTTTTTCTAAGTATGAAAATTTAGCTTGAAGTACATGTTTTCAATCCCATTTTACACGGGGATGCAAGCTTCAAATGACTTTTCCTCTAAAATGAAAGTTGTAGAGAATCCTCTAAGATTTCTTTTAAGTACTAGAACTCCTCCGTTGGATATGTAGAGCTCAAGTTATGATGTCTCCAAGTTAGGATTTCAAAGATGTCAAATAGGATAAGTTTTAGGCAGATTTTTGAGGCAACTTTCCAAGCCACTTTTTACCAAGCTCTTGACTCCAAATCACTTTTCTTTGAACATGAAAGTTGAAGGTCAATCTTCAAGGTTTATATCCATTACTAGATCATTTTCATTGGACAAAAATTCATCAAGTTATGTGCCTTCAAAGTCAAGTTGTCAATGATGTCAAAACTTCCATGACTTAGAACTTTTCTAAGTCACTTATGACATAATGATGGACACATTTTCAAATTCATTTTCCATGACCTTCCAAGGCTTGTTTCAAGTTTCCATTAACATGAAAGATGTACATTATGGTCTTAGCTTTGCATTGAGCATAAGAATTCATGGTTTGCATTAAGAATCACCAAGTTATGATCAAGGAAAGTGTGTCATATGGGCTTGTTTTAAAAAGCATGACATGTCATGATTATTTGACACAATGTTCATATAATCTTGCAGCATGATTTCATCCCATCCACACGCATTAAACCACTCATTTTTGTGTCACCAACATTGCCCCAAATGACCAAACATACCCACACTCTTCATGCACCATATTTTTAAGTTTTGCCAAAAAGAGAAAAGGACAATTTGTACAAAACTTGCCTAGCAATAATGTTCTCTCCACTCCCTTCATTCTGAGCCTCATACCACACACCAAACCAACCAACAAAACCACCCATAGTACTAAACCCGAGCCACTCTCCTATATTTCAATTTTCACCAAAAAAGGATTAACCATGTTTATTTACCACAATAACTAATTTGTTACTTCTCAAAACCATAGTATATAAGAAAATAAACCTACAAGGGAGATCATTCATGCTTCTGCAGCCAGTTTTGAACCAAAGAGCATCCTCTCACATTCAAATTTATCTCTCTTCGAATCCTTATCTTTGAGCCTTTTTTTATTTCATTTATGGCCTTCATCTTCATCCCTGAGTATCATTGGAGCTAGACGAAGAAGTTTTAGGAAGCTTTGAGCAAGCTCAGAGAGTAAACGAGCTCTTCATTTGGTAAACTTTCTTTTCCCTTTTTCCCTTGCATTTTACGCATGTATGAACTTGTGGTTTCCATTTCTAAGCTTATAAGACAATGAAGATTGAAACTATGTTGATGTTGTTCTGCTTTGTGGAGTTTTCAGTTTGTGTGCATTATTTATGTGGCCTGTTTTAACATGCTTAGAGTGTTTAGAAATGAAAATGGAGGCCGTTTATGGAATCTACATTGAAAAACGAGGGTGTAGGGTGTTTACTTGCGTGTTTTGATGAGGGTTGAACCTATAACTCCAGAGAGATGCTCGAAGAAGACGACCAGAGCTTTGCTCCAGCATCTAGGGCTGAGGTCTGAGTTGGCACTTAGCTGACTTTTTGACCAGCCCATGTGGCGATGATCTGTTCGCCGGGTCATTTAATGAGATCCACGTGGGTTTCATTTTTGGCTTGTTTTTTATTCTGATTTGTTTTATGTGGTTGGCCCTACCCTTTTACTTTCTGAACCCCCATGTTTGAGCCCAAAGCGCGTGTAAATGATTCCTCTTTGTATTGGTTTTTGCTTTTTCACCCCTTCCCTTTCTTTTTCTCATTTTTTTTATTTTGTTTTCTTTTTTATTTTGATTTTATTTTTAATACTTCTAATCATTTTCCACAAAAAATAATTTTCTGATCCTTAACATGTTATTTAATTTTTAATAATTTTTATTGTATTTTATTATTTTATTTGGATTTATTTTCATAAGGTGTATATTTGACCTAGTTTTAAAGTTTGATCTTGTTTCATGGCCTTCCTTTGTGGCTCTTAACCCTAATTTTTTACCATTCTTTGACACATGTTTGAGGAGTGTTTGGATGCTTTTTTCATGCCTTGATGATCATTTCTTGGATGATTCTTATTTGAGTTTGTTTGGCCCTCGAAATATGCTCGACTAATTGTATACTTGAACTTGTAGGTTCCATTTGATGATGTTTTCTTGCAATCCTTATTGAGATACTTTTCACTTGACTCTTAATAGACATGAATTGAGTTTTATTTCATAATTGTATTTTATTTGACCTTTTTTCTATTTTTGGATGGTGCATCAAGTCGTTGTTGCTTTGACCATGTTTTGTGCATGTCTTGACCTAGTTTTTTGAGTTTGTTTCTTGGATGATTCAATGGATGTTTGATGATTATTATATGCTTTGGTTTACATTTTTGAGGTTATGATTTTAATTTATGGAGTTTCATTTCATGACCACTTTATCTCATATGCTTCACATGATGATTTGTTTCTCTTATGAGAGATGTTTGCTTGACTTTGGTGTTTTAATTTGAGTTTGTCTCTTCTTGAGTTTGATTGTTGATTGGGATTTGAACATGATGCATATCATTTGAGTTTTTTCTGACCTTGATGAGTTGATACTTGATCATTTGTGTTCTTTTTGAATATCTCCTTTCTTTGAGAATGACTTGCCCTTGATGTTTGTTTTGAATTCAAACCTTGTTGTTTCCTTTGTGTATTCACGAGTGAATCTTTGACTTGATATTCATGTTGATTTTGCTGCCTACACTTGATTTCATGCTCTAATCTCATGTCAATTCTTTTAAGGTTATGTCTTGCATGTTTGTTTTGTGTAGCATTTGATTTGTTTATGAATGTGATGCATGATTTGAATCTTTGTACTTCTTCCTTGATCATTGACATGAATTAGATATGGTGTGATGTTGCTACTTCCCTACCTTGTTTCTCATATCATTTGACCTCATTTCACTTTGCTTTGTGATTGATAATGCTTCTTGTAAGATTTTTATGTCATTTGAATGTGTGTGGGCACTTTGTTTTGCCATTGTGTTTTGATTTAAAATATTTTGATTTGGTTTGGCATGTGAATGCTTCCTTGATATTTTGACATGATGTTGGTGTTCGCCTTGTATGATTGAGATGTGTGTTTGCTTGATGCCTCTTGAACTTCCATGATTGTTCATCTTGTTTGAATATTCTTCATTCTTCTTCTTTCTTTTTCATCTTTCTTCTCCTCTTGAGACTTATTTAAGTTTCAATCTTGTTTTCATTTGTGACTGAATTTGATAGTGTTTACTTGTGCTTGTTCACATGATACCTTAGGATTCCTAGTCCAACTTAAATTTTTATTAAGGTAGGAGTAGGAGAGACATTAGGCTTTCAATCCTTTGCATGATAACAATTAGGATAGTCTCTCTTTGACCTCAACTTTAGGTCCATCATTTGTATAATAAAAATAGGTAGAATTCCCTTTTATCCTATCCTTAAGACCATTTTGTATGATAACATTAGAGTTTCAGTTTCCTTTAGTGTTTTCTTTTCTCCTTTGAGTCTTCTCTTCTAATCTCAAAATAGTTTCTAAGACACTTAATAAAGACGATGAACGTTGTGCACCACAAGCCTTAAGCATATGGGAAATGATGAGTGAGGGGTTTCTCCTTACTTGTCTAGAGTGTTTAGTATACGTCCCGTTTGGGGGCGATATGCGACGCATTCGTTCCTATATCATAGTCTTTAGTGCAACGTGAATCTCAAACAAAATCAATTCACTTCATTAAAAATCACAAAAAAAATTCAAACCTTTTATTCTTCGGGATTGTTGTTTCAAACTCA